CACCTTCCTAGTTGTTCAGTGTTGGCCGACAAACAGACTCTCAGCGTCCTGAAGAACAGCGAAGGTCCGGAGGCCACGTTCAGGATACAGATGTTTAAGTTTGTTGGCAGCTCTTACGCTTTCGTCTTCCTGCACTGCAACGTCCAGATCTGCCACAGCAGCCTGAGTGTGTGTAAGCCTGTGAGTGAGACCTCCTTACACACACACACAGCTCAAAGTGAAAGTCAGACGCCAGCTCAGAACAGCAGTCAGCAAGCCTTGACTTGTTTTTACTGGTATGAACTGAGACTTACACAGTCCTTATTTCAACTGAATTACAAGTCTACATCGTTACAACCAGACATTTACTTTTTTTTTCCAGCTAAATTTTTGAGATTAAATCTAAACTTTTCCTTTTCCCTGCAACCTGTAAGATATATTTTTATGCAATTTTTCAAGTAAATGACATCTTCTTCTCTGAGTTGCGTTTTAGTTCACATTAGTACAGGACTAGTTTCCCTTCGATAGGGTTGATGTGCTCATTCTAAATACATTATCTGGTTTCAACTGTGATTGTTTGTCTCTGCATTTGCTACGCAGAACTGTACCACCGAAGACGGACAGATGAGGACACGGAGAGACGCCCCACTGTCCCACACTGTGTCCTACGGCCCAATCAGACGACTGCTCACCGCCAGTGAAAAACCCAACCTAAGTGCGTCACTTTACAATCCCTGCAACTTGCACAAGTTAAAACAGTTCATTTAAGGGATAATTCAACCTTTCTCTGCAGAGCCCAGCGGTTTCCCTCCGGTGGAGACTCTCGTCCTGGGAGGCTTGCTGGTCGTCTTGGTGCTCGTTACTGGGGTGTTCGGGAGGCTGTGGCTTCGCTCCAGGCGTTTCTACCCACCACAGGAGGCACAGCTCACCCTATCTAACATTCACCACATCTCAGAGGTGGCTTCATGAAGTGAAGCTTTTATAGAACTGACAAATGGACATAAACCTCACATTGTGATTGTAACAGCAAATGTTTTGAGTGTTTCCTGTTCATATTTTATTATTATTATTATTATTGTTATTTTAAAGAAATGACTAAGTCATCAATCATTTTTTAACATCTCTTTCAGAGTGCTATATTGCAGATTTAATAATAAAACAACTAAATAATGTGTGCTTTATTTCAAAAATTTAAGTAATAACCATATCATTGCTTTCTTTGTCCTAAAATTGTCTAAAGTCACATCACAGTTATTTCAGATATATGTTGTAAAATTGCACTTAGGGTATTTCCTTACGCTATTTCAGGACCTTAGCCATAGTACTGTGTCCATTGTATGGCAAGCCATTTATTATATTGAAGTACAAATCAATTTTTTGTTCTTTTTTCCTAACATAAACCAGAACATTTTAGCTTTCTAGAGTTCATTTTGTCTGGTGCACAATCTTAAATTCTGATATCTCAGTTGACATTCTTTATAGTGATTACTAGGGGTAAAGTTTGATTTTTGTCTATATTTTTGGCCACATTACTTATCAAAATGGAGTCAATATTATCTGTCAGCAAGTGATTTCATCTGGTGTTTATGTTTTGGCTATTATAATGGTATTTGGGATTTAAAAGTTAGCTTTAAGCTTTGACAATCTACAGAGGGGTCTTCAAATTCAGACCTTGACGACCAGTGTCCTGCAACTTTTAGATGTTTATTTGCTTAAACACAATTTTTCGCTCTATAAACACCCCAACCAGCACCAGTGGTGGTACCAGTTTGAGAACCATGAAGCAAAGCCATATTTTTTAACCTTGGAAATGTTAAGGTTGCAAAGGAGTGGGAAATTTTTCAGAAACCTTTCATTAGAAGTTAGGCAGAGGAATGTTGAACCGTTGTGAAGAGACAGTCGACGAATAAAGATTTCTTATTAGGCTGTATAAAGCTCTAGACGTTTAAATCTAATAATTAGCAGATCATGTTAATTTTTTTGTATCTTTATTTTCAGCTTGGACAAGTAAGTATGTTAATTTGACTCAGATTGTTTCATTTAGCTAAAAAGAAAAGAAAAGATTGTATATAACAACGACCTGCCATAATTCGCCCATAAACCTAAATGTGACAGGCCACTTTACGTGATGAGGTAGTGCTGCGACGTCCTAAACCAGGATCAACACTCGGAGAGAACCAAAGGTCCCGCACCAACTAAACCAGCTGCGGCCAATTCACAAGATTTGAAGTTGTTAAGTACTTTAAGTTGTTGATATGTAGGTATAGTTTCCGGCTCTTTGAAATTAACGAACCAAATTTAAAGAGAACAATATTAGCATAAATAAGACTTCAGGGACTTCAGTAACTCAGGTAGGTTGTTTCCAGAAGCTACCGGCGAGCTAACAACTGAGAATACAGAGTTGTACACGCTAATGCTAACAGGCTATTTGTGTTGTTCTTTTGTTAGCTTGAAAAGTTTTTTTTTTCTGTCTGTTCGCTGCTGTTCGGCTGTTACTTGTTTAGTGATAAAACAAGTTTATGTAAATCCTATTATTTTTAGTGAAGTCATAAGAGGAAGGGATAAAAGTGGGCAGAAGGAATTACACCGGCTGATGTGTTGTTTACGTTTAGCTGAATGCTAACCTGCCAGCTGTTCTTGCGCAACTCTGCTGTCAACTGCAGCAAAGATTTCAACAATAATTATTATGTTTTAAACTTTTCATTTTAGACCAACAGCGTTGTTGCGGGTGTTTAAATTGCTGTCTGGAGACACAACGCCGTTCACATCCGTAACCTGACCTGATAAACAGTAAACTCATAAGCCATCAACTGGTTGTGTTGGTTTGGGAAAAGTCTTGGCATGTTTTTCTGAATACCAGAGATTTTGAACAAAAGCTTAGTTTCTGCTCTGAAAGTAACATTTCAGGTTTTCACCAAACCTGAAAACCCCTGTTGTGAAATGTTCCTCACCAGACAAAAATATTTTATTTAGTGTAGTTATTATTAGTATTCTTTCTTTGTGTGTGACAAAGAAGCACTAATTATTATGTGATGTGGAAGTGAAATGTTCATAATTCTTCCTGAATAATTATTTGAAAAGTGTACTTGTATCCAGTGGTGAAATTTGAAGCAAATTATAACCCAAAATATGCAGTCAGAGCTACAATACAGTGGTTTAGATCATGAAATTTGTGTTTTAGAGTGGCTCGGTTAAAATCCGATATTTTAAATTCCTTTAAAAATAGCTGAGCTTGTTTAGTATAAAGAGGATTAAACAACATTTTTAGTTCCTAGATGTGCAAAAGGCCTTAATGAGAGGTTCATTTTGGTATTGCATGTTTTCTCTGTATGTGAATAATGGCTGTAGTTATAAAGCAACCCTTTTCACAGTGATTACACTTTTTGCATTTGTTGTTGAATTTCTCTTTTTCAGGGTACAACGTGTTCCTTTTTGAGATTTTCTAGTCTACAACATGGCAGGTTCTGTTTAAGTGATTAAAAATAATAATTATAAGAAGAAGAAAATTACAAGTCTTGTAGTAATCAGGTATGGGTGTGGCCAGTAAGCAGTAAATCTGCTGAATCACAGCTGCTATGATTTAACATGGGGGGGATTGCTTTTTTTCTGTAGTCACTCCGCTTATCTTCATCTAATTTGTATGTATATATTTTTTTTATAATCTAAAACAGGGGTGTCAAACTCCAGTCCTCAAGGGCCTCTGTCCTGCAACTTTTAGATGTGCCTCTGCTGCACCACACCTGAAAGGAATAATTAGGTCATTAGCAAGGCTCAGGAGAACCGATCTACACAGGGAGGAGGTAATTAAGCCATTTCATTCCACTGTTTTTTACCTGTGGCACATCTAAACACTGCAGGACAGCGGCCCTTGAGGACTGGAGTTTGACACCCCTGATCTAAAACATTTAAGTGGGACAAAAAGGTACAAACAGAATTCATCTGTAATGGCACAAACGCTGTTTCACATCACTGTATGTACACCAGACTTTTCAGGTTTCCATTTGAAAAAAACAATTAAATACTCACTAAACTATCATATGTGTTCCATTGAACCTCGTTTGTCAAATTAAAAATATATTAAAGCAGGTGTTAAACTTTTAATTAGGCCCACATTTCTATGTTAAATGTCTTTTTTTTGTATTAGTCTGATGTGATGTTCTAATTTTAAAAGTCATGTTTTCATCAGTTTTGTGCTGAAAATCATTAAACAAAGGCTCAAAAAACATCAGTCTGTCTGTAATTAATCGTTATGTGTTTCACTCGGTGAATTGAGTTACTAAAGTAAATAGTTTTCAGTAATATTCTAATTTATTGAAAAAATCTGTACGACAATGTATAATTTTTAGGACTTCAACTAACAATTATTTTAGCTATCGATCAATCTCTGTTTGTTCTGGTGATTAATCAGATAAAATAAATTGGCACGTTCTGCAGATTTTTATTAAACTACTTGAGCCTTTTCAATGCAATACTAGAAATTCTTTTAAAAGGTGGAATAAATTAAATTAGAAAATATTTTATTTCCTAAAATGCAGTAGTTTATTGAATTGTGTGAATATATAAAAAATCTACTTGAGGATTTCAGGGTAAAACACATTTCCAGCCAAAGGTGTTTTTTTTTTTTTGTGTGTTTTTTTTAAATCTTAGAAGCAAAATATATACATGTCCAGTTTTGGCTTAATTACAGCTTTGAATATTTTATTTTTATCAGCAAATGGCCTTTTCTTGAGTCCGTATTCTCCAGATAATGATTAATTGATTACTAAATTAGCTGACGAGTATTTAAAAAATTCATTAATCCAATTAATCGTTTCAGCCCTAATAGTTTTTCCTCCACTTACCCAATAGGTGTACAAATCCTAGTACATTTGAGTTTGTTGTGTTGTGACACGATGTGAAAAAGTTTTAAGAATAAACATTAAAGGTGAGGGATTCACTATAAAAGTCTTTTTTTAATCCTTTGTCTTTGTTTACAGGGTCCAGCTTTTGACCACCCCACTGCAGGCAGGAACTACTTTAAAATGGAGAACCTGCATCCACACTGCCTTAAATGCATCAACAGAAGGTGCATGGCCAAACCAGAGCCGGGTGTCTCCTGCGATCTGGTTGGCTGCCCTCTCGTCTGCGGGGCTGTTTTTCACTCCTGCAAGCTGGACGAACATCGTCTCCTGTGCCCCTACGAAAGACTGCCGTGCCTAAACAGCGGCTTCGGCTGCCCCTTCACCGTCAAGAGAATCAAAATGGCGCAGCATCTGGAGACGTGCCCTGCCAGCATAGTTTGTTGCACAATGGAGTGGAACCGGTGGCCTGTGAGCTACGCCGATCACAAGTCCTACGAAAACCTGAGCAAAGACTTTGACGAGGTGGAGCAGCTGGACATGGCTCTAGCTCTTCAGGATCAGAGGATGCTATTGGAATCGCTGAAAGTTACAACCAACGTGTCGAAGAACGGAGAAAAGGGAGCAGGTTATGGGAATGAAATGGCGTCGGTGTTGGGCAGTGAAACGGTAGAAATGGAGGAAGAACCTTACAACAACTTGTACAGAGCTTCAGGGGAGGCGACCAGGAGCTTAGCTGCTGCGCTCGACATCCTCACTAATTCCAACAACATTGGCAAAATCATCGAAAATATAAATGGAGATAAGAGTGGAGTGGTCCATAATGGAGAAAATGGGGAAATCAGGCATGTTGCTGAAGGCGGGAGGAACGTAGAAATGCTTGAGAGTGACAGTGATTCAGAGTGTGAGCTGGGGGCTGTGGGTGGAGTTGATTGCGCTGTGGAAACGGACGGAGATGAAGATGCTGCTAACTGGTCTGAAGAAAGGAACTTTGTGGAATTGCATTTTGAGGAAAAAGATGTCGTCATCAATGAACCAATTCAAAACGGTGACCTCGTCTGGCCTCTCATCCCTCAGGACTACATACCCGTCGTAGCACCGGAGCCTCCCGCGCCCCAGCTGGTCCCGCTCACACCGCCATTCCTGGTGTCGGATCAAGTGAGAAGGAGCTTCTGCAGGTATCGGTGTTGGAAGCAGAACTTAGAAGTGCTCAGCATGTTTACATATAACGTCCCCCAGGCCCTGATCAACCCTTACTTGTTTCGAGTAAAAATGGAGGACAAAGCGGTGGACACATCTGACCTGGAGGTAGAGGAGGACCCGATGGGGCTCCATGGCATTGACCTCATCACTGCGGCGTTGCTGTTTTGCCTCGGGGATTCCCCGGGAGGCCGGGGGATCTCCGACAGCAGGTTCGTCGACGGCTACCACATTGACTTTGGCACTCAGACATTCTCCTTCCCTTCCGCCATCCTTGCCACGAACACCATGGTGGGCGACATCGCCTCAGCCTCGGCCTGCGACCACGCCAGTCCGCAGCTTTCCAACCCCAGCCCCTTCCACACGCTGCGGCTGGAACTGGTGCTTGAATGCGTCGCGCGGTACCAAACCAAACAGCGCTCCATGTTCACGTTCGTGTGCGGGCAGCTCTTCCGACGCGACGAGTTTTCGTCTCACTTCAAGAACGTCCACGGGGACATCCACGCTGGCCTCAACGGCTGGATGGAGCAGCGTTGCCCCTTGGCGTATTACGGCTGCACTTACTCCCAGAGGCGCTTCTGTCCGTCCGTGCAGGGCTTTCGGATCATCCACGACAGACACCTGGGTTCCTTTGGAGTGCAGCCCGGATTGCCTTTGAAAACCGGAGACAGCCACTCAAGAAAGCCCCACCACATCGACGCTCAGTACGATCAGTTTAGCAGTCTTCCTTTTGAGGTGCTGCAGCACATAGCAAGCTTTCTCGACAGTTTCAGTCTGTGCCAGCTGTCCAGAGTGTCTCGCACCATGAGGAACGTGTGCGCCAGTCTGCTTCAGATGCGTGGCATGGTCGTCCTGCTGTGGGAGAAGAAGCGGCGCGACGACGGGTCTCCTTCGTGGCAAATAACGCACAAGGTTAGAACATTCAGGTGCTATGTTGTATGGTCATTCAATTGTCAAAATCCTTGTCATAATTAAAGCAAATGTGAGTTTTTCTCGCCATGGTTGAAGTTGCATGCTGTTCTCGTGTTCTGCCAGGTGTGGCGCTTCAGCACGGCCTTCGGCACGGTGAACGAGTGGAAGTTCGCCGACATTGCCAGCATGGCCGACCACCTGAAGAAGTGCAAGTTCAACACAATCGCCCGCCGGGAGGAAGCCATTCCTCTGCCGTGCATGTGCTTCACCAGGGAGCTCACGAAAGAGGGAAGATGTTTACGATCGGTTCTGAAACCAGTAGCATGAACACTGATGGCATTTTTTTGACACCTTTTTCTTTTTTGACTGACCAAGAGAACTTTGATCTACTTGTACGTTCTTCAGCGTTTACAGACGTTTACTCTCTCCACGCTTCAAAACTGCAACTCCAGTTAAAACGGTGTCAATTTCAGGTTATTCTTTGTTTCACTTTAATTTACAGGAGACTGTCAGCAAGGTGTTGTGGTTCAGCTGAGGTCGCGCTGAAATTCAAACGTTTTTCTCCACAGCATCTCAAATGGTTCCACTAAAACGTACATTAGCTCCGTTTTAAATAGATTAGGTTTTTACTGAAATATAACGTTGTGATATTCAATATCTATTATGATTTACCTAAATTTTCCCCTACTTTCTTTCTATTTCGTCAGAAGGATCTTGATCTGGGAAAGGCGAATAGTAGAAGTTCACCTTATTGGCAAAATATACAAGATCATTCCTATTTCTTGGCCCAAAACAAATGCCTACAACCTATATACATGTTTTGCTAAACCCTACTTTTCTATATAATGAATGATTTTTATATATATATATGTGTGTGTGTTTTTTTTAATGACTTAAACTCGAATACTAAACATCTGACAGATTTCTTAGTGAGATGTCATCACTGCTGTTAGCCGGTTAAAACTCTTTTTCACAGCTTTATTAGAACATATTGAGACAAACCAAACACCTGAGCAGAAGTTGGATGTTTCCCAGGATCCTTCTGCTTTCAGCTCAGCAGCGTTGGCGTGTCGACATCGCCGTCTCTGCGAGGCACGTCTTGTGGTTGTGGAGTGTTTTGTCTTCATTTCTACTTGTCATTTCTGAGTAATTATCTGACTTATTCAGGGTGAAACGAGAAACGCTATTATTCAGTCTGTTTGGCCAAACTTTACCAGCAGCTTATTATTTTTTTGTGGGTTCTTTGCTCCAAAAATCTAAATGGAGCATTGAGATGAATATGAATGTACTTGGTGAAAACATAAGTGACATAAAACCCTGCTGGCCAGGTTTTAGGAAGCTTAACCAATGATTTTGAACATCACTACTTTTTTCATCTTTGATTTTGATGTGTTGAATGTTTTTGCCATTACCTGCCAGGTGGGTAAAAATGGATGGCGTCTCAGGGTTTTAGGATGTTTTTGTTGTGATGTTGGTTGTGAGACGACGATCACAGCGCACAGTATGACGAGCACAGGTTGTAGTGCAGCAACAGAGAAATCTAAGATTTTATGGGTGTTTTTTCTGATTGCTGATGTATTAAAACAGGTTGTTTTTCAGATATTGAGGTTTGTTTCGTTAGCATAAAAACACGTTTTGAAACACCGTGTGTTTTGTTTCTGTTTGAAAGAAAATGCTTGAATCGTTTTTTTTAATAAAAGGTAGCAGAAAATGTCAGCTACTTTAGGTTTTAGCTGCCAGTTTTCATCTTTTTTTCCCCCTCCTCTTTATGTATATATATATTTTTTAGAGGTTGCTGTAAACTCAAAGCTTTATTTTTTTATCCACTTGTGCTATTACACTTTTATTTTGGTACTTTAAGCTTTTTTTTTTTTTAAGAAACCTGCCTCAGTTAGGTGTAGATGTGAATTATTGGTTTGCACATGAATGCATGTACTGTAAACTCCTACAGGTGACCGGTTTGTTTTTGCTTGATATTTTGCTGTCACTCTGCATGTGAGTTTGAAACATGTATTAATCAGTTCAGCTGCAGATTGATATATATATTTTTTTTTTCTACAAATATTTTTAGGCATCTGGATTACTTTTTTCACTTTTCTTTTGACTTGAACCACCAGGTACTTAAGCTATACTTCATCACATGTGCCCAGTGTTCAAATTTAAACAGATGTTTGTATAGTAAGGGAACTGGTCATTCATCGGTCCATAAGTTCATGATCCCAGGAAGAAGGCAAGAGAAAAAAAAATTAATCTGCTGATTTTCTAAATGTAGCCATTTTTTGTGTCTGCAGTGTGTTGACAGTATTTTAACTTTTATTTTCACTCCTGTGTTTTGTTTTTCTCGCACCAAATTATGTCAGTTTGTTTGTAGGTAATAAAGAGATCTGCCAGTATTTATGCATTTATTTGTATTTATTGATGTGTATGCAGGTTTAACACCATTCTTAACTGAAAACTGCCATGTTTACACAGAACTTTTTTTATTTTAAATTTCCTGGTCTAAAGTAAGAGCTCAATCAGTTTTAACCAAATAAGCACTCGGTGTTTGCTGTTCACACTAAAAAAAATTTCTAGAAATTTATACTAATAGTTTAAAATATGATCCATTTCCTTTCTTGTCCTGTTTTGGTAAAAGGGTCTAATTTTTTTATGGATTTGTTAAGGTTAGTTTCTCGGAAACGTATTCATAATCCTTGTAACAGAACCACTAAATTCTGTTATTTTATTTGACAGACCAACATACAGGAGCACATTTCAAGGACTATTTCATCTCGTATATTTTTACCATGGGATTTTTCTGCCAGGCAAACGTTTGCGTCGCATACGGGTATTTTTATGACGTTCTGTGACTTGAGGCTACTGCTAACTAGCTGTTAGCATACCCTTGCTAGCTAGCTAGCGTTGTGCGTCTAGATAAAAGCGTCATTTTATTGCCAGTTGCTGGACGACAGTCTTTGCTACTGATTTGCTTCTGTTGCCAACCCATACGATGCTGTGCATTCTGTGCAAGAAAGCTTGGAACTACAACTATATAAAATATGGAGTGTTATTTTGTACATTTTTGCCATGTACAAAAATGTCCATTAAATTTCGTTGATAATGGACTTAAAATGTATTTGAATTGGTGAAACCTGCAGAAACCCTGCTTACAGCTAGATGGCACCAAATTCACACAACAATGTTTAATGAGTCCTTGTGTCTTGTAGTTTCGATACTGTTTTGTCTGTGTGTTAAGACCGGACAGCATTATAAAAATAGTTAAATAAGGTTAAAATTGACAAGTGACTTAATGATGTTCCAAGATTACTAATGTAAATGTTGTCCTTAACTTTGAAGCCTGGATGAAAAGCCCTTATTCATCATATGTAAATATTTTAAAGGAATTTTTTCTTGAGTTTCCCACCCTCCTACATGTACAGGCAATAAGCCCACACATAACTCTCAAACAGCCACACTTCCCATCAAACCTGGGGGTTGCAAACCCACAAGGATTTAGCCCATCGACTCTAATCTCCTACACCTAAACCTTCTCTGCCAGGCTGGGGTCTGCAGCTAACCACAACAAAACAAACGTGAGCAGTCGTGTGCGGACGACGGGCAACTTTGTAAAGTCTTGGTGCAACGCCTCTGACAGAGCTGGTCACACTGCCTGTAAGCCCCCCCTGCCTCAGCCATGTAAACCACAGCGATGCTGCTGATGGAGGAAGTGCAATCATTGCAGACTCATTTCAACATTGAGTGGCGACGTTGCAGTTTGAAAACGCCCACGACAACCACGGCCATCTGACTCACCTTCATGTTACCAGCTGACAACTGGCACCTCCTGTGGGAGATGGCGTGTCGCACATTTTCACCTTGCTGTCGCGCGGCCAGAAGGCCCGCTGCACGAACCGAGAGCCTTCTGATCTGCTCTCCATTCTATTGTTGTTCCTCAGCCTTAGCAAACACATAGATAGATTCAGGTCACGAGAAAAGCTGACGTATTACGTGACTGGCTTCTGTTGTGTACTGTTGACTTAAGATAATACCATTTCATCTGAAACTGCAGGAGCTCTCAGTCGAGAAAGACAACAAAAGGCCTGTAGGTGAATTAGGTTGGCCAGGCTATAGTTTCGTAAAGCATGTAAACATATCTTCCCTTAATTAGAGGCCTTAATGTATTTCTAAAGACCTGCTGAACAACAGCAGCTGCAGCAGGAACCAGAACCGCTGTTATTTCCAGTTTCATGCTTGCGCCGTCCAAACCACTCGAAGGCATTTAATCTCACTTTAAAAAAAATCACATTTAAATATTTTACACTGCAAAAATGACAAAGCTGAGAGCCTAAACACAAAGTTAAAAGGTATTGTACTTTAGATTTATGTCTTTACAGGAGGTCAGAGGGAGCTGCTTAAAATATAATCAAAGTAACAATCAGGAAATGTAACATCCAAATTACACTCTCAGTTTTGCATGAGTGTGTGGTTTGAAGTGACTCTTCCTTCTTCTTAACACTGTAAAAAAACAAAAAGAACTGTGATGTCAAAGTACTGATGTTGGGCTGCAGTGCAACACTTTAAATTAAATAGACACAGACACATGGCCGGCCCAAGATTCTACAGGATCCTGGGGCAGCAGCTGATTTAAGGCCCCGTAATCTTAAAACTCACTTAAAAGTAGACACAAATTTGAAGATTGTGCTCATGCCTGGGGTCAGCTCTGTAGATATGGATAAAGGAATCGTTTTGCTAAACAAGTCTCATTTGCAGCAAGGGAAGCAGCAGCAGAAAAGCTTCTTGCACGGATTGTTTTTCTTGTACTTCACAGCCTTCTTGATCTCAACCGTAGCCTTGGCGACGTAGTCCTGAGTCGCGCCAACGTTGGCCTCTATGTTGTCCAGCATGGAGCCCTGCTCCTCCACCAGCAGCGCCAGCTGAAAAAAGAGTTCGTGGATGTCCTTGATGCGGCTCTCCAGCTCCAGCAGCTCCTTGTGCCTGTTCTCTATCTCGTTCAGAGCCGACCTAGCAGTCCTGCCCTCCTGGAGGAGATTATCCACGAAGATGTTGCACTTCCCCGTCTCGATCATCTCGTCTATCTGCTCCCTGCTCACCTCCTTGCCCATGATCTCCGCTTGCCTCTGGATGCGGTTTTTGCAGTTCTCCCTCTGGATCATTTCGGCCTCGTTGAACTCGGATATGGCTTCATGGAAGGCGCTGGTCAGGGACACATACTGCGAGCGCACCATGCGAGCCACGGCCGACGTGGGGCCATGCTCTTCCTCCAGCTCCTTGCTCAGCTTCCCCATCTTCTCCAGCCGGGCGTAGATGGCCTCCCCCCGTGCCTTGATGTCCCTACCGAGCGCGTTGGCGTCCCGCTTAATGCTGCTAAACCTCCTCACCGACGTGAGGAAGCGTGTGTTCTGCTTCCCCATGCGCTTCACGTCCAACTTGAGAAGCAGCATCTCCTTCCTCATCATCTGGGCGTCTTTGTAGATGCTGTCCATCACGTCCTCGCCCTGGAAGACGACAGCGTGCTGCTCCAGCAGCTCCTCGTCCTCGTTGGGGCCCCTCTCCTCCTCTGTGGGGGCAGAGGGGAAGGTCTGCAGCTCGCACAGTCGGTCTTTCATTTTGCCTGCAGGAGTGAGCAAGAAGCTTAGTCAACCTCTTTAGGGAAATAACATTTTACATTGTAAAACAGAAGCTACTGTAATACCATAGATCTGTTGATCGAATGTCTACCAGAAAAGGGAAACAGAAGCAGTTTTTTTGTTTTTTCTTCTCTTGTGAATTATCTGATCTGCATCAAAGCCTTCCTAAACACAAACTGGGCCACAATTGTTAAAAATAGGTCAGTAAAGTGGCATGCAGTCACCGTTTCAACAGCTGCAGGCAGCAGAGTTTCACTCTCAAAACAGTAGAAAGGTTAGGCTTTCATTTTTGGGCAGATAGAGTAAATAAAAGGTACCAATAGCCTTAGCAACAGTTTCAGCCATCTGCCTTTTTAGTTTCATAATTATGAAATAGCTGAAAACAGGAAGAGTGAAGATAAATTTGTGTATAAGAACAACGAGAAAAGAGAACTTGTTGTGAGGTAGGCGGGAAGGTTACTTGAAAACTTCAAGAAGATTCTGGTAAACTAAATAGAATCGTTTGACTTGAGAAAGAAATTCACTTCTGGTGAGACTAAGTTGCAGTCAACCAAAAGTGGATTGGAAATGCAGGAAAACCAGCTGAAGATTAAAAAAAAAAGACCAACTCAATCAATTAATCAAGTTTATTTGAACTGCAGACACAAAGCAGTTCAAAGTTACATCGCATTCTATAAAGATTACACTCTAAAAACAAATTTTGGAGCGTGTTAACTATTAGATATTAAATCTATTTACATTTCAACTAATTACTGTAAATGTACCATCCAATAAAAGTAACATTCTAACAACACTTTTCTTTAGTAACAATTTTTTTTTAATTAAGGATTAACTGAGGAGCTTAACTGAGCTAACCATAAGCTAGCTATTACCGTTTGTCTACAGCAGTGAACAGAAATGCTGACATGTTCAATGTTGATATGATACGGTTTTGTTATGAATGAACATGACAACAGCAAAAGTTGAGATTTGTCATTAAGAATTGTGGGCCGGAAAGTTGCAGTGGTGGGGGGAAAAATTAGGATTGCACCCCACCATAGGTAGCTTAGCGATAGCGCTAGTGCTAAAGTCCAACTTGTATAGAAGGAATCTGGATGCTAGTCTGTTAAATGTGGGATATTGAAGGTATTTAGACTTTAATTAAGTGCATAAATGTGCAGCAAGTTTCAAGAAATTATATATATTTTTAGAAACATTAGCTACTTCATTGGAATGTAACAACACCCAACATTTATTGAGCACACAAGAGAAGGGTGACGTTGGTATGTTTTTATGGACTGTACTTTAAATTAATTTCATCAAATGTTTTTCAAGATATGTCTTGACTTTAACTTCTTGCCTTTGGTGATTATTTGCATAATTAAATCATGGCTAAATATTTTAATATAAATCCATAAATTGGTTTTCTTTAAAAATCAAATATTCCTTAACTTGTCACCTTGTGACCCATAAAAAGTAGGTATCAGAAGCTTAGCTACTGGTTTAGTGTACTAGTTATTCTATTTACTCAGTAGGCTGTAATAAAGGTGCCAGCATCACTAGTTGACCTAAACTTTGGAGACGCTGCTACAGCTCCATTAGTTTTCATATCCTGCATCATTTCATAGTTTTAAACAGAACCTTGTGATTCGTCAACATATATATCTAGCATTAATACGCCCAGTTTCAACTATAACCAAGAAATTTTAAGATAAACTGACCTAGATTTTTCAGAAACTTCTGTAACATTTTGAGGCTATTCTGAACAAACTATTTTTAGAAAACTCCTATAAAAAACTTCCGATGTTCTTATTCAGGTTTCTAGGAAGGAAACCCGTGAGCTACTTCCTCGGATGTGATGATGCGCAGATATACTTAGCCGCTCGTCTCAGACTCAGGCTTGTACAGAGAATCCGCTATTAACATTTACTGATAAATGAGCGATTAAAACTTGTATTTTACAGTCAAAACGTTAACCAGAACGCGTTTTTTTGTTTTTGTTTGGTCAGACTGATGGAGAAAAACTGACAGAGACAACCTGACTCACCCCACCACTCAGTGAACTTATAGATGCAACATTACAGAAAATATAGTTTAAAAGATTGCACATACCTTGAAGCGTCACCCTTCAGCGGTACTACGAAATTAAACTCACAGAAGCACAAGGAGCGAGCGATGAAAGACTCATTTCCTCTTTTTGACTCGGTTCCAAATGTGAATATTTCAACATGCGTGCAGTGAACAGAGTTGAGGGCGTCTGACAACACTGCAGCGCCGTGAGCCAACGCGGAAGATCACGCCTTGAGTGCTTCATCACCGCCGCTGGGTACAGGAAGAAGATCCAGCAGTCATTCAGAAGGTGCAGCCCCACACACTGTGACATGTTACGGTTATTAACAGAAAGATATTAAACAAACGTCAAAACGTTTTATTTTATTTTTTTTTAAATCCATCCACCCATTTTCGATACCCGCTAGTCTTGTCAAGGCCTGTGCCAATCTCCAGCGGCCATTGGGTGAGAGGCGGAGGGAGAAATAACCTGGACAGGTCACCAGCCAATCACAGGGCAACACAGAGATACACCTGGGAGTCGTGTAGTTGGACTTTGGGAGGAAGCTGGAGACAACCCAATAATACACAGGCTACACCAGTGCAACTAGGATTAATAAATGTTAAAAAAATGAAGCTGAAATAAGTGATTTGTAAGATTTTTAAACTTTTATAGTTTTTTTTTCCATCCCCGTAATTAATGAAAATACTTAACTACATTAGACATACTTAGAATATGTGCATGAATGCTAAATGGTTTGTTAATTAAATGGAATGGTGTGGAAAGGAGGCACAGACTGGCAAATGCCATCGTAGCATGTTTACGATGTGAAAGATACAAAACATCAGTCTCTTCGACCTTTCACCATCGTTGTAGTTTCAGTTGTTTGTTCCAGAAAGGAGCCGTCTCCGATACTGGATCATGTTTTCCATACCAACGAGGCATCAGCTGGAGAAGTTTTCTACAAATTGAGGACTAAAAGGAAACGATCTCTAATCAGTTGCTAGAAGGAAATGTGCTTACGTGACCCCAGTAAATAATCAGGAAGTCACTCAGAGTTGGTTTGGTTCTGTATGGGTCATAATCACTTATATTTCATAAGAGTCAACCGGCCAAACAGGGATCAGAGGCAAGGTTAACACAAATGTGGCTCATAAGATTAAATACACATTTGAAATAAAATAAAATTTGTTTTACATTCATTAGAATTTCATGCATCATTTTATGTGTGCATTTGTCAGCTGATCAATAAGATATTTAAATGCAATGCTAAACAGGGTTAAGCAGAAACAGGAATTAAAGCCGATTGTTTCATATCTTTTTTTTTTAATTAACCTACTAAGCTGGTCACAGAATGCTTTTCATTGCAACATACTTCATATCTTTACATAAAAATATTAGTGTCAAAGGCATGGAAATTTAAAGCAGCACAAAATTAATGTTGGCTCAATTAGAACAAAGCGTTCCACATAAAAACAAGTAGAAATATTTCCTCCACAGATTCTGAGAATTTACAGAAAGCGCTTCTTTGTCTTTCAGTAATAAAAATTTCTTTACATTCAGAGGCTTACATTCCTTCAGTACTTATTAGATTTACCTTTTTGATTTTGTCCCATTCCTACCGAGCAGGTTTGCAAATGTAACAGTGGTCACTACCATTTAAAGATACTTGGATGATATGAGTTACAATATTTCATTTTCATTTGGGATAAACTAAGCATTTTTTTTTATTTAATTGAGTTGATTTGAATACTATCAGCTTCAATCAGCTCCTTCACAAGACCTTTAGCTTTCTTCTTTTCAGAGATGTATATGCAAATTTTACAGCAAAGCATCTTCATTTCTTCGACAACCATCTGGTTTCTGAATGACAACTGCTTCTCTTGCTTCATATATTTGCTTAAATAGATGAATATAGTAGCACAAAATTTTATTCACTTTAAATGAGAAGTTTACAAACCCTAGACAGTAGCATCCAGACTGTCCAAAATAGTTTTAAAACCATGAATTTTGAAGAAGTTGGTAAAACGTCTTACTTATGCATGCATTGTGGAAATAGGTTTTCAGTAGCTTATTGGTGTCTGACACAGCAGTTTGTTCTTATACTTCCTGTCATGTAGGTTTTTGGATTTGCTGCTTATCTTTTCCGTGTGTGTAAAATAAGCACCGTCATAACCAGATCTGTTATTTCCTCATCACAAATCAAGGCATTTTTTTGTAACACGGAAAACAGCCACAAAACATCTTCTTGAAGGGGTTGTTTTTGTCCGAAGCGAGGGCCCTGTCCAGCTGGAACGTGCCCTCCTGGACGGTCACCTCGGCTCTCTGGACGTTCCTCTCGATGCTCTCCATCCCGGCCCCCTGCTCCTCCACCAGCATGGCCACGTCCAAGAAGAGCTCCTGGATCCCCTCGATCCTCCTCTCCAGCTCCTGCAGCTCCCGGTGTCTGCTCTCGATGCTCACCAGGGCCGAGCGGGCGGTCTGGCCCCCCACCTGGATGCTGAACACGCGCGGCTCCTCTCCCTCCATCATCTCCTCCAGCTCCGTCTCGCTGACCTCCCTCCCCACCACCTCCATCTGCCGCTGGATGTGGCGCTTGCAGGCCTCGCTGTGGCTCATCTCGGCCTCGTTGTAGCCGAATATGACCTCCCGCAGCGCGGCGCTCAGGTAGTGGTACTGGGTCCGAGCAATGCGGGCCGCGGGGTCAGAGGAGCCCCGCTGGTCCTCCAGCTGACCCCGGAGGTCGTTCATCCCGTGCAGCTGCTGCAACACGGCTTCCCCTCTGCGCTTGATGTCCATCCCGATTGTGTTGGAGTCTCGCTTCGTGACATCGGGAAATGAAGTCTTGTTTAACGTCTGGAAGTTCACTTCCTTTAGCTCGCCAATGTCGTTCTGGATCTGCTGGATCTCCAGACGGATCCGCTGGGCCTGCTGTAGGATCCCATCCAGATCCGGGTTGGAGTCTTCGCGTTCTGAGCGGCCGTTCAGGTCCACAGCGCTGAAACCTTCAGGATCAGTCTGGGCCTCCTGCAGGTGTCCCAGTCGGTCTCTCATGTCTAAAAGAAACAACAGGAAGGAGGTTAGATCCATTCATTTAACAGCAACACATTAAGCACAGCTGTGCTTCCTACAGAGGCTAAGAAAACCTTCCAAACCCCATCTAAACACGTCCATTTCTGCCATATTGCAGCCACAAACTTAAACATGTTTCATTGACATATCATGCGAAATGAAAGAAAATGTATACATTTCATAAAACGATATTCAAATCTGAAAAGAGTGGCTTGTATTTGGGTTCAGTCCTCCCTCACTCACTCACTCAACACTATTTTGGTTGTGGTTGGCGTCATGTAACTTTAGGTGTGGTCCTGCTGCATAAAGGCTGAATCAAAGGTTTACTCATTTCCTCAGTGCATCATCAAGTTCTGCAGGACTTCATCCATCTACCCACCAAACTTGACCTGACCTAACAAGATACTGCCACCACCGTGTTTCAGTGTGGGAATCTACTTCTCCAGTGTGTAACATTAAATATGGAGCAACAACAGTTACATCTGACAGTTTCATTTGACCTTCTTTTGCATGTTTATTGTGTCCCCCACAACTTTATAAAAAACTTCAGTTAAGACATCTTATGAGTTTAATTTATCTATTTTATTGCAAGTCTTCCAAAGTGACTAAATGAGTGGAGTGTTTAAATATTACTTCTGTTGACTGATGGCTCCTTCTCTGGGTAATTTTATTTTAGGGTATCAGATTAAAGGCTCACCAAACTTCTCCGATTTTATTTAAAAATTGTAACATGAAAAACATTGTGGTTGGATTGTGACAAATTCTGAAAATGTTCAAATTTTAGCTAATTTCTTTGGTTTGTAACTTTGGCCCTGCTAGAAGAACTAAAACCCTCTTTTAGCCGATAAATGTCCCACTCCATCAAAAGCTGCTAACAAAACAGGAAGTAGGTTCTTAAAGCATTTTTCTCCGTTTTTGACACAGGCCATGCTGATAGGAGTGGTACGTGTGAGCTGAAAGATTTACATGTGTCAAGTTTTTTGCTCCCTTTAAACCACCTCAGCTTCTGCCCAAACTTGAAAAAGCTTGCTTCCCAAATGAAAAAACAAATGGAAAAAAAAATCAATTATAGATCACAACAAACTAATTAACTAGTTTTCCAGGTAATGTTAATAATCTACTTTTAAGTTAACAGTGAATGAACAAACTACATTCCAAACACATAAAACCCATCGAATCACCAAGGCTAATTTGATCTTCTGAATGCAGATTAAATGATATAAACTGTGCATAATGTCCAGTTCCTACCAGTGGTGTCTTTGTGAAAGTTTGAAGGTGAGGCTCTTTGTCTGAAGAGATCATTGTGAGCACAGGTGTGCCAAGTTATCTTATAGACTTCAGATGGGCCTGAGTGAAAAGGATAGGTGCGCTTGATTCTCTGTGATGTGTGTGCCAGTTGGGTGGAGATAGTAAATGCACTCACAAGTGTACCATCTGCTATTTTAACTTGACAACATGCTACAACATTAACTCACAGTTCTGGGGGGAAATCCAATACTACAGGGAGCTGAAGAGAGCAGTTCTGAAAGTAAAACTTTGCTGTCAGAAAATTACATTTTGAAATACATGTTTCTTCATTTTCATTTAGTTCTCTAAAAGGCTCTCAAGTACGTGACTTTAATCTTTAATGAGAAGATTACAAGATATTTAGCAATAAAAAAATAAAAATAAAAAAAATAAAAAATACTGCCTGCCCTTAGAGAGGAAATTAAAGTACAAACATGAACTTTTCACAGTTTTAGGTTTAGGGTAGATGTGGGTTCAATTCTAGAGAAATTATAAGTAAAGGCATTTAAGTGGACTAAACAGATTGCAGGTGAACTTAATGAACTTCCTACATCTGCTACTGCTGATTGCAGTTTTTGCAGGAAAGTATTCAAAAATCCTCGATTGTTTCCACATTCTATCACATTACCATCAGCTACTTTAATACATTTTCTGGAAACATTAAAATGTGATAGACCAGCTGCCACCACCGTGTTTCACTGAAGGGATGGAGGGATCAGAGTGATGTGCAGCGTTAGTTTTCTTCCACACAAAGTTTTGTATGGAGGCACATAAAAAAAGCTAAATTTTGGACTATTTTTCTTAATTTCTTTCTCCCCGAGTGGGTAACAGCAAATTGCAAATATGCCTTCCTATGGTGTTTTATCAACATGCAAAGCTTTTTTCTTCCTACTCTTAGCCAAAAAATACTGAAGCTATCACCTGCACTAAAAAACATAAATAACTTTATTTTTATCCCTTCATGTTGGTTGAAAGGAGCATCCATTGGCTGTTTTTGAACGTGTGAAGGCTCCCAGCATGCGGCCTCACTAAGACAGGCCCTTTTTCTCATTGGCTTCGTAAGGCCGATATCCTCTGCATCTCCAGTAATCAGGTCATCTTAGATGAACATTCTTGATCCAGCAGGACATTTCTCAAAATTCACCAAACAAGTTCCAGTACAGAAAAAAAGGACAGACTAAAAAATAACCGAGCTTGTCTGATAGAACCTCTCAAACTTTGAATTGAATTATTTACAGTGAAACTCAAGTGATGAACAAAAAACAATTTTCTCTTATTTTATTCCTAAGAAGGACTCCAGTACAGGCCTGTTTAGAGGCCTTTAAAATCATTTCTATATTAGAAGAAATCACTATAATGGCAGAATTTTTTCATCCCTTACTTGTGCTGGTGTGATTTTTCTGTAGAGGCCTCGCAGCTCGTTTCTTTGCGACCTCCTAATTAATCCCGATCATATAGAGACAGGTGCGAGGTCCAGCGAGCGTGGCGACGGCTCGGGCAGCTCCAGATGACTTCAGGTAAATGTTAACCCTCATCACTGATGCGCCTTAGAACCAAACTTTCTGCATTCCTGTTGCATCACATGGAAACAGAGTAAAGTGAAGACCGGCCTCTCGAGGATTTTATCAGGAGGAGAAACTGGTGTTGATCCTCCGCATTCCTCTGATCGGCTGAAAGTGCGTGAACTTTTCTAGAAAATCAATTTCTGTTCCTTTTTTCTGACAGGTTAAAACAGAGCCAGTTCCTGGACTCTAGAAGCAAAATCTTACAAAGTGTTTTTGGTCTAGTTTCTATGAGTGACCTTTCACCAAGCAATAGGAGCTTGCTTTAAGAAAGTGAAAAAGTACTAGCTGTAAGTGAAGTAGTCTGCCAGTGAGACAAGATATTTGTCTCATATTATAAGTTAAAATATCACTGATGTTGGTTTTATGTTTTTGCAGTGTAAGAATAGAAAACAGGAAGTGTTTTAGATATGCTATCTCCACAAAGGGTGTGACTTACATGTTCAGACGTGATAAGACATAAGAGAGATTTGTTCTTCTGACATTGAGGTTTCTGTGGAAAAGGCTTCTGGTTTAATGAAACACAAACTCTGTCCAGGAGAGCTGCGAGAAAACAAAAAGCTGAAAACTAGAGCAAGGTTTTAGTGGGTGTGTGGGAGGCAGCGTGATATAGTTATTTCCAAAGAAAAACAGTATCTTTTTTTTTTTGGATCCGCATGATTAGCAATTTCCACCACCCTCTGTGAGTCTGAGTCACACTCGGCTTGCGTTTCGAAGGGGATTTTTGTTGCAGAGTCACTGGGCTGCTGCAGCTCACTCTTCAGCTGTCGTTCCTATAAAGAGACGAGAAGCATGAATGAAAACCGCCACCGCTGCCGCTTGAGGATTCCCCTAGAAACCACAGCAAAAGCAGCGAGTCTTTGTCGTCTCCTGTTCCACTCACCTGGTCCTGAGAGAGCGCCTCCAAAAAGTATTCATCTGACTCTCTCTCCTTATAAATATTGCTGGGTAAAACCCAAATATGGTGATGTTTTCCATTTCAAATGAATGAAGTTTATGAACTGGAATTTATGTTATGAAATAAACAGTGAAGTACATGTAAGTGTAATTAAGACATTTTTCTGTGCAAGGAAACAGTATGTTGGATCCAGTAATTGATTTTAAATGAACACTCCTCTTTAATGAAGCAGAATCATCAGTGATTACATGCCCAAATTGTGTTTTTGAATTTGCAACACTTTATAATACTGAGCATGTATGTAGTAACGGCATAGAGGAAAAAATAACCTTTAAGAATAAACCTTTAGCTTAACCTGTCTGAATGTAAAGTGTCATCTGCTATGTCATGCGCTAGGACTATAATTAGGTTTCATGTAAAATAATAAAAAATATTGATGAAAGTTGTAGCTCCTTTAGCGACTTAATTTGAAAGTCCAAGACAATAAAGAAGTTTTCAAGTCTGCAGGAAGAATGAGAGAACATATTTGGTGCTCAGTAAAGTTCAGCGTTTGGTGTCTATAATAAATTTTGTGAAACAGTGAAAGAAAGGAGCAATTTTATCATCCATGGAAGATAATTGTTGGAAGCTGGGGTTTGGATTCTGTGTGGATTTCTTCAGGTTCTACAGTTATCCACCAGAGGGAGCCAGGTAGTTGCTACTGAGCAATTACACACACCTGTTAATCATCTTCTGTATGAGGATCAAAAATATACCAAAAAACATGACTGTAATGGAAAGTAGCATTATCTTAGACAAAGTCTTCCTGCAGAAAAACATGACAGCTAAAGAGAACATGTGGTATGACATTCCATCTATGAAGAGACCAAAAAACAGAAATGCCATGTAATACTGAAAAAGTTAAATATTCGGAGAGTAACAAAAGAATGTATGAGTGGTGAAAAGTGATCATTATATGCTCCACCTTTTGCATTAAGCACCATTAATAATCATTTTGTCATTTTGAGATCCAGGCGAGGTTACACAGCTGTGTGTGTACAAATGCTGCAGTGGCTGATGTAGTAAGAAGATATAGCTGATGGAATAACTTAGGGGGCACAGTGAAGTCCAATTACAATTGAATGATATCGGGATCTTTAGAGGTTCACAAAAGTGAATCATAAAAAGTTTGGTGCAAATCTGATGATGCATGTATGATTTAGAGACGACTGTATCCGTACGGCAAGGGATTTTAATTCGCCATTCGGCCACAGCCACATGGTTCAGCCAGCAGCCAGCGTTGACAGTTCATCATGTCATTTTGTGTCACTTGGCACAGGTTGAAACCTATATGAGTCAAAGTGTAAAAGTAAGACATTAAGACATTCAGCAGAAAAAACAGGTGACTTCCTGTTGGAAGCAGGGGGGAGGGGATTCAAAACTGAGGAATTTAGAGCCACCATATGGCAACGGCGTTACAGGTCACTTCGCCACACCCACCCGTTCCATTGAAATCCATCTGTGTTGGAAACCCAGTCAAACCCACACGTCTTCTGTCTCTGGACACAGATTAATGTTGATTAGGGAAAAGGGATCAGATAGAGACCGTTCCCAGTAAAGCATGACACTTCCTATTCTCAGGGGGCATGGCTTACGTGATGTCATCATTTGATCACTGGGTATTGTAGGAATCCCGATGATGATCAATCACTGAAAGTTTGGTGCCTCTGTGAGTTTTTGTGTAGGAGATATAACAGTGAATAAGTGAACTTTGACCCCAGGTATCTCCCTTTCAGCATGAAGGAAAACTCACAGTTTTGATAACTTTTAATCGGCCATGCCGTATGAACAAACTGACCAAGTTTGAAGCCAATCAATCGAAATCTCGTAGGAGGAGTTAGATCAAATGCGAAGGCTGTAAATGTCCAAAATGGGTCAAAATTGGAACTTCAATCCAAAATGGCCGACTTCCTGTTTGAGTTGCACGATGACATTAATTGAATTTTCTGTGTATCTTGGGGAGCTCTACAAGTGTACCAAACTTAATGTCTCTACGATGAAGTAAGGTCCACGTGGACGGTATTTTGAAAGTTGCCAGGTGGCGCTGTTCGGCTGTTTCTGTTGCAATTTTTGTGACGACCTTAAAATACATAATTTTCACACAGACTTGACAGATCCGCCAACTTTGGTGAGTTTTTGAATATGATAACGCCCCCAAAAAAGCTAATTCATTTGATGGAAGCATAATAGAAAGAAGAAGAAACAGGACTATTACGATAGGCCTTCGCAGCGCTTAGCTGCTCAGCCCTAAAACGTTGAACTGAGGCAAATGTTCAAAATCAAGAAAGAAAATATTTCTAGAGAAAACAGGCTATAACCATTAGATGGCGACAAAAGTCATCCGGTTTCAGGGAGTTTTCTCTAAGGAGGCAATTGAGAGACGTTCAGATTTTAATATAGCTGGATATTTTCACTGTTTAATTTACAAAAATTTTCCAATTGAAACCACACAAATTGGTGGCTATAGTTCAGAGCTTCTAGAAACAAATAAACATTTTATATACAACAAATCAAAGAAACTTAATGTAACTAAATAACTTGTACTTTTAAACTAGTGTCAAGTGTATTATTTCTAATCATACATTTTAAATACACCATACACCCACATGTCATGTCCAAAGGAGGCATGTATTATAATTTTCAACCAAGCAAGTGAAGTTAGATTTATGCCTGATAGATTTTACTGCCGTTCACAAACTCAGGTCAGCAAACATTACAAGCAAAAAAGCCTAAATTGTGTTTCCTGTCCTCAGTCAGCTGGTTCTGATTTTTTCCTAAATCAATAACCTGTTTAGGCTTTGCTGATCTCCAGTCATGATGTTCGCATGTGAACAGCTAAAACAAAAATTAAAACACACACACACATGTTTGTGTGGCTATCTTTGTGGGGACTTTCCATTTACTTCCATACATTTCTACAGCCTAAACCTTTTTTCCTAACCCTAACCAAAACTCAATTCACACCTTAGTCCTAAATCTGACCCCTGACCTAAAAACAGGGTTTCCCCTTGTTGGACCACACACACGCACACACACACACACACACACACACACACACACACACACACACACACACACACACACACACACACACACACACACACACGCACACACAGGCTGCTGTGGCCTCTTTCTCTTTCATTAGATATTGGACAAACTCTGGGAAACGGCTTTCTGCGAGCAAACCAAAAATACATCCTGAACTGAAGGATGGAAACCTTCACGATTCAAAGCCAAGTAAAAGTAAAATCTAATTGTGATCTGTGCTGCCCATTAGTCCTCTTAAACCAGGTTTCCATGACCTCTTGCCAGGCTGATTCCCTGCTAAAGGAAAGTGAGCTTGATCTTCTTTTCACACAGAAGATGCGATTGCTTAATCTGAGATCTTAAACACGGGTCAGTCAAGGAACCTTGCTGGCGTCTTAAAATATAACTTTGTATGTTTACACAACTTGCGACTCCGTAAATAATATCTAATGTAATTTTCTTGCTTTTTTTCCTCACCGACTTTTACAGCACAGCCAAGAAAATCTCAAAACTCTGGCTGACAGTCATGGTTTTTAATCGAATTTCACGTCCCCTGCAGGAAAAATCGCAACAGGGCCTTAGCAGGGACTCGGCCGCCAGATCAGAGCCGCACTCTCCCAGCTTGGATAGGGCACCTCAGACAACAACCAGGTATCACGGGAGCACATGCACACACATGCGGTGGGAGCCGCTCGGACCCCCCACGTTTTTATTGGATTACGTCTCATCAGGCCTCAGCAGTCAGGCCGCCGGTCTGAATGGAGAAAACATCAGCCGTTTCCAGTTAACCAGAGTTGTGACTCTAATTATTCAACTTATTAACTCCATACTGAGGTTCACATAACAGCATCAGTGTCTTGGAGCATCTGATCAAATTAACATGAATGCCTGTCATGGGTTTGGAGATGCTCCCTTCTGATTTCCCAAGCTCTCACTTTGCTGCGCTTAGGCGATACATACATACCTTCAGTCTTGTTT